AAAGACAGAGGCCTTGAAGGTCAGCAGCAATCTCCTGAAGTGTGGAAGAAGCAAGAAGTAACTCACTGACTACCCTCCTTAAGTTGAAATCAAAGGTAGTACCAAAAAAGGAGCTTGACACAGGGCAGCAATCCTGACTACACACATTTTGTGAATTAATTTTAAGGGAATAGGATCTACATCAGCAACATGCTGACCTTCCTGCTCATGACACCAGAAGTAGACAGCCTGAAGAAAGAACAGCACAACAACCAGAAAAGGAACTTGCGAAGTGCAGGGGATGTAGGAGAAAAGCTGGTATTGCCATAATCTTGTAGCACTATTAACCAAATCAGAGCTTTTTCTTATTACCTCTTCTCTCTCTTTCTCTAGATAAAAATGACAAGCCCCTAACTCCAGTCTCTAGAGACAAGGTTTTCCATTCCTCTGTTTTGGTCTTGTTCTCTGCTCTCTTGTCTCCAAGGATGTTTCCCCTTGGGTCTGACTTTTCAGCACAGCAAGTGTTGTGTGCCAGACATCTCCCAGTCCTAGTGCACAGGGCTGAACTGCATCAGGGAGCATGATGCACTCCAACGGGTCCCTTAGCGGGGATGGCCGGAGGGCTGGGACTGCAGAGCACGCCACAGCATGGCCCTCCATCTGGAAACAGGCACACTGATATCTTTTGTTTTCCTCAGTGAAGCCCCCAGGTTCTGGGTCAGAACGGACCTAACAAAATGCTTTCGAAATGCATTACCACAAGGATCATGAGGGGTGGAAATGCGTCTTTTATAAACCTTATAATGATTCAGAGCTAAAATCTGCTCTGACAGTAGAAGGGACAGCTTGTTCTAATGTCAGTTTAGCTTTGCTTGCAGTACTTTCTGTAAAAACTGATCTCTCTCCTAATTTTATTCTCCATTCGGAAAAAAAAAAACCCAAAACTGCTGTGGTCAAATGAAGTGGGCAAAGGATTAGAGACAGGATTTTAAGTTTTGGACATCCTGGTAAATACTGAACATTTGACATGGCGGGGGGGGGGAAGACTTCTAAAACTCTGAGGAATGGTATTCCTCCCAAAGAATGGCACTAGGTGCTTAAGGAATGAACAAATGGGAGCTCTTGTTAAGTGGCTTGCTTTTCCACTGGATGAAGAAAAAGTAATTGTCAGGAGAGAATGCAACTTCGAATCCTTCCTTCTAGACAGTATCCTCAGAAAACAAGGTATAGAAAGGAAATAAGTAAAAAATGTTTGTTCTTGATTAAGCTTTTGATAATTAAGTTATTTCAGCACTGAGAATCTTACCTACAGCTTGAATTTGCCTGTGAAATGCTGAAACAGAAACACTGAAATGCTATAGTGAAATGACACCTACTGATACATGAGAAATACTAATGCAGGCAGATATTTTCTTCCTATTTTTCCTTCTGACAGTCGAAACCAGGTATTTAAAAGTAAACCAAGTGTATCATTTGAGACCTCTCTTTCTATTGTGTGATCACAATCTAAAAAAAGGAGGTCAGCTGGGTGCTGAAGTACCCATCAGTCTGTTCCTTCAGAATAATAGAGTCCCAAGTCTATGTAGGCCATGAAAAACAAATAATATCTGATTCCTCTATGACAGAGCTAATTTTTTTTTTCATCAATTATTTTCTACCAGTGACTTATTTCTACATGTTTTAATGAGTATTACGCAGCTTTCTACATCAGTTCAAAAGGTTTCCTGAAAAAGAGAAGAAAACTATCTAGGCCTTAGAAGCAATCCAGTTTAAAAAAAAAAAAAGTAAAAGCAAGCTTGCTACCTCGTGTAGTGTATCCTCCGATAACATAGATCTTGCCCTTGCATTCGCAAGCCGAGAATTCTGCAAGAGGGTTTGGCATGGATGCTACAAAATTCCACCAGTCGTTTTCTGGGTTGTAGCACTCCACATTGGAAAGGGATTGACCACCGATGGCATAGAGCTTTCCATTTACAGCCAAAAGCTTAAAATTGGACCTGAAAGAAAAGATTGCAGCGTTTAAATAAGTCGCATAGATGTACAGAAA